GTTTCATATTCTTGTTTATTAGAAATTATCAAGGAATATGACAGAGAAAGTTGGTAGTTGGGTGAATTCAAAAATTTATTTTCTTGAAGTTGGAAGTAAGTAGTTTTAGGTATTATTCATGATATTATTGTTCGCAAAGTGATGAACTTCTCTTGTGTTTTCACTGTTTTTTAAATTAATTCCCAGACGATCTCCCATGTGGAGGTTGACAATGATTTGTCAATTTTTCAATTATTTAATTACAGTAATTAATTTTTGTGTAATTTCATATGAAATTTAAGTTAAAAGTTGAATAAGACGCTCAAAGAGCGCATGTTGTTAAAACAAATTTAAAACAGCTCGATGGCCTGTCTCATCTCACCCCATAGGAGTACGTAGTCATCCAAAYAAAATCATTTATTCATTTTGGTTTGATTTGCTTTACGTCATTACGTGATTGTCAGGTAGCGATGAGGTGTTCATAATTATAGCATCTCGGAGTACAAAGCATGCACGTCTGCGCATGTCTGTCCCGAATTGTCACCTTCCCACTGATTCTGCAAATCTGCTCCATACCAAATCCTAAATTGATCTCCAATTTTCACATCTTTTGCAGGAGAAATCTCGGGGAAAAGCAATTCGYCGCTGTTGTAGTTGTATCCTGGAACATCGTATCCCAATCGACCCCATGAATCATCTATTATTGGATACCCAATGGGCGGGGCAATTCTTTTGTTGCTTGCATCAGTAATGTGTGTTTCTATTCTAGGGATTGGTAATGCTGCTCCTACTCCAGATCCCCATTTTCCGTAACCTCCAATGGTCTCACCTTTYAAGCCGATGCCTGAGACGTAAATGAGTTTGAATGTCTTGATTCGTCCATTTCTAGTGACTGTAAAACTTCCATAAGAATCGTCCTTGGTTCCGAARCATACTGCGCTTGTACTGACTTTGACCCAAACTGGAAAAATATAATAGTTCTTATGAATACAGAGTACAAAACGTTTGAATATATATCTATTCAATATATGTTAATCATCATAGCTCACTATTATGATGATTATTATAAGATTATTATTATCATTATCATCAGCATCATATTTTTTATCATCATCGTGTGTGTGTTTTTGTTTTTATCCTTTTAAAAATGGTCTTACTATTTGTTGCAGGTGTCGGTGCTGCTGTGGTCGTTGATGCTGAAGTTGTCGTTCCTAGTGTTGTAATTTCTGCTGTTGTTTCTAGAGCTTCTGAGGTTGTTGTTGTTGTTGTTGTTGCCGCTCCCGTTGCTGGCACTGATGTCGTTTCGGCTGCTGCAGTTGTTTCTGTTGCCCCTGTTGATATTTTCGGAGTTGTTGGGTTTTGCTGAACTGTAATATAAAACAATGAGAGATAGAGATGCAGTAATCAATCTTAGAGATTAGTTAACACTAGCAAATGTGTCGCATTGGTCGAGCAACTATTTTTATTTAATGCAATATTTATACTACCGCAAACCCAAATCTCGTGTAAAAATCCTGCAAATTAACGGCATTTCAAGGCGACAGATCGCAGGGGTATCGCAGCACATTCGAACATTCTCGACGTACCATTCACTGCGAATTGTCACTTGAAAATCAGGGTGAATTTGCAAACTCTTTACACGAGCAATAAAACAATTGCTGCAAAAATTACAGCCTGCATGTGGCACACAACAAAATTCAAATTCGTATTCACTTTCTATCAGGAAATATCAAGTCATTAAACTTACTTTGACAGACGTNCGTTGTTGCTTCTGTTGTCGTTGCTTTTGTTGTTGTTGTTGCTTCTGTTGTTGTTGTCGCTTCTGTTGTTGTCGTTGCTTGTGCTGTCGTTGTTGCTTCTGTTGTCGTTGCTTTTGTTGTTGTTGTTGCTTCTGTTGTTGTTGTCGCTTCTGTTGTTGTCGTTGCTTGTGCTGTCGTTGTTGCTTCTGTTGTCGTTGCTTTTGTTGTTGTTGTTGCTTCTGTTGTTGTTGTCGCTTCTGTTGTTGTCGTTGCTTGTGCTGTCGTTGCTGCTTCTGTTGTCGTTGCTTCTGTTGTTGTCGTTGCTTCTGTTGTTGTTGTTGCTTCTGTTGTCGTTGTTGCTTCTGTTGTCGTTGCTGCTTCTGTTGTTGTTGCTTCTGTTGTCGTTGATGCTTCTGTTGTCGTTGATGCTGCTGTTGCTGCCACCGTCGTTATTGGTGCAGTTGTTGATGCCGCTGTTGATATTTTCGTGGTTGTCGGGTTTTCCTGGTTGTTAACTGCGAGATAAAAAGCAATGAGACGATTGTTTTACCTTTCTCTTTCTATAATATGAATACAATATTTCTAAAATCGTTATAATYATTTTCGCTTTGTGATAACCCTTTCGCCCTCGCCCCGAATATTCTTAACTAATTGCGAGGACAAAGGGTTTTTGTAATTTTGTTTGTTTTGAAATCATTAATAAAAATTGTGGTTGTTGTTGTCGACTTTTAAAACTTTTAAAACTAGTTGTTTTAGTTGTTTTAAAAGACGGATTACTTTCTCTCTTGATTTCTCTAAATATGTCAGCTTCAAAAAATCTGGTAAAGTTTAGACTTCCGATTTTACTTACTTTCGCAGTATTTACCGTCAAATCCCTTTTTGCATATGCAGGCCTCGTGACTTGCCTCACCAAGCGAGTAGCACTGTCCGCCATTTTGACACGAGTTAATCTTGCACTGCATACAATAAAAGATAAGATAACAACTTATATAAGCGAATCTTAAAAAACCTCAAAACTGTCCTTTCATCTTAGCACGTCGCGAAATGCATCATGGTATTGATAAAAATACCAAGATCCCGGATGCAAAGTTACAAAAAAAGTACGTTTTCAACGAAAAGAAGTCCTTTTATCCCTCGAAAGTGCTTGGACATTGTAATGGTGGACAGGACTGAGGAATACGTTATGCTCATATTGCATCTGATGCACACAACAACATGACTTCAGTTGACATTTCCGTGAGCCTCCCCTCTACTCCCCTCCCCTCCCCTCCCCTCCCCACCCCCTTTCTGCACCTCTCTGGTCTTGAATGCGGAATCATTTCTTTTGACCACCTTGTAACTCGATAAGCGATCTTTGTAGAGCAGTTCACACTTTTTATCTTGAGAGTAATAGTTGAACATGTAGCATTCATCAGGGACATTCATAAAACAGGCGTCTTTACACTCGTTGTGGTCTCGAGCGTTGAGAGTCTTCAAGACTGGACCAATAATAG